CCCAATGCTAAGTTGTAAATTGGGGGAGGGCACTGGGGTGGCTCAGTCGTTAAGCGTCTGCCTTTGGCTCAGGTCATGGTCCCGGGGTCCTGGGATCGAGCCCCGCATCGGGCTCCCTGCTCGGCGGTGGGGAGGGGGGGGCCTGCTTCTCCCTCTGCCACTCCCCCTGCTTGTGTTCCCTCTCTCGCTGTGTCTCTCTCTGTCAAATAAATAAATAAAATCTTTAAAAATAAATAAATAAATTAGGGGGATATTATGGGGTTCTGTCAAGTGCCTTTTATTTACGACATGTCAAGTTAACCTTTGACTTGTAAGATACTTTATCTCCTCCAAGGACTTGAGACTTTACCTTCTTGCGTTCATTATATTTATCACTTCCTCCCGAAAGGGAGATAGTGTGCTGGGGAGGGAGGGCGGCAGCCGCTCATGGTGTGTTTTCTCTTCTTACTTTCCTTTTCACAGACTGCATTGAGCAGGTAATTTTCTCCCACAGGAAACCTAGCCATGGACACACTTTCTTACCTAATTGGATGTAACTTTACCACTGTAATTACAGTGATTTCAGAAATTGAGTTTAATTAAAATATGAATCCTGACTCTGAAAGCCTAAGGACTTTGGTACTCAAGTATACGTACACACAGGTGAAAAAGAATGTCTATGAGAAAGGGTGGCTAAGTTTTTTTTTAAGATTTTATTTATTTATTCATGAGAGACAGAGAGAGAGAGAGAGAGGCAGAGGCAGAGGGAGAAGCAGGCTCCCCACTGAGCAGGGAGCCTGATGTGGGACTCAATCCCAGGACCCTGGGATCATGACCTGAGCCAAAGGCAGATGCTTAACTGACTGAACCACCCAGTCACCCTGTTTTTTTTTTTTTTTTAAGTATTGTTTTAGTAGTAGTAAAATTGTAGAGGATTGTAGAGCACTTCTTTGGTAGCTTTCATCCATTGGTTTAAATGTTTTATACCAAAAGTCAACAATCCATGACACTATATGTCACAGGGAGCACACTCAGCCGGATGGATGGCAGGAAACACTTTTCCCCTTGTTGATAGGGTTCTGCTTACCTTTAAAAGAGCTAGATGCATTGCTGCACTTCCCTCTGAAGGAATTTATGCAGTGCCCTTCTCTGCCTGGGCATCTATGACTCTTTGTGTCTCTATATCCAAGATGGAAGCAGAATGGAACCTTACACCATTATCATCAGCATTTTGCCGCCTCTCTCTTATTCTTGGTTTTCCTTTCTCCCTTGAGATCCGTGCTATTAATTGCTTGATGTATTCAATTTTCTACACCTGGAGCCAGTCTTTTTGTTGTTGTTGTTGTTGTTGTTGTTTTAAAGAATAAGGAATTGTCCCTTTAGCTTCACGTTCAATAGATTTCTCTTTATCGTGATTCTATCAGAAGAGAAGGTAAAACATCCTGTGTGGCACTTCATCTGATCGGACTTTTTCTGTCAGTGACTGAGAACTTAAGCTGCTGAATAGCTTTGAACACCTTTGCTCTCTACATGCATTTTCACCCTAACGTTGCAATATGTTTTTCAGGTTTTCAATTCAAAAACAGCTGAACTACTTAGTCATCATCAAGTGGAAATAAAACAAGAGTTTCCAAGAGAAGGGTACGTTTCCTGATTTAATATGTAAAAGATACCTCATGTTTTTTATTAATCCATCTCCCCTTACCAGCCCTCTGGCCTTGTAAAGCAAACTTCACCAAACCCCTCCTGAGAAGACTCGAGAGATAGGTTTTTAGTCAAGGAAAGAAACAATACCTTGGTGGCTCAGCAAAAACATGTGGGTGATTGATGGCTTGGGAATTCAGTGACAGGAAAGGAAGGGATAATAAAGTAGTAAGGCAAAGGAGTATTAAATATCGGAAATTCCACATTGACTTTGAAGGCATTTAGTTCTGTGTCCATCCTTGGTGAACACTGCTTTGCTGATTGGAGTATAAGCATTCACATCTCTTACCATCGAATGCTAAAGTCATCCTTCTTGGGAATAATGTGCATATGTAGTTAGTTGTAATTGAATAGGATGTTAAGTATATTATTTAAAATTTAATGATGTTTATGATACACCCACTTCGAAAAACTGTGGCAGTTTCTTAGGAAATCAGCCATGTATCTGCAGGTTCTGCTCTTAGGAATTTATCCAAGGGAAATGAAAGAAGAAAGCATATGGCTGTAGAAAGACACACATGAATGTCTATAGAAGCTTTATTCATAATAGCCCAAACTGGAAACAACCCAAATGTCGGTCATCGTAGAATGAATAACCGTGAAATACCATGAGGCAGATTTTAAAATATGAAGTGATGCGTGCAACAACATGGTTGAGTCGTATTAATACCATGAAACATGAAAAAAGCTGAACACAAAGGAGTACATACTACATGGCTATGTCTGAGATAATAAGAAGAGACGAAAGTAATCGAAGATGATAGAAACCCAAAAATCGGTTGCCTGTGGAGTATGTGATTGACTTGGAAAGAGGCATGAAAGAACTTTCAGGAGTGACAGGAATAATTCTATATCTTGAGTGGGGTGTTGGTTGGATGGACACATACATTTGTTAAAATTCAACAAATTGTATACTTTTAATCTGTTTTGTTTTACTTTAAAATTTAATTCAATTTAAGAAAGAAAAAAAAACTTGATGCCCTACCAAGTTTTGGTATTTTCTTTCCATGAAAAATGATCTCCTGCATTTTAGAGAATTACTTTAATAATAAAAGCTATTGATGTGGTACTAGCATTAGAATGACTGTCCACAGACCTAATCCCAGTGCAGTTTGGAGAGAAAGCACCTGGGTCTTGAAGGGACTAAAGTTAGAAATATGTGGAAGGAGGTTAGGTTTTTAGAAAAAGAATTTAGAGACGACTCAAAGCTCAGGAAAGCCAGTCAGGCTCAAGGAAGGCCAAGAAGAAAGGCATTTGGAATTCCCTTGTACTTGCAGATTGTAGGGTAGGACTTTTAAAATTTGGGTCCTTTCTACTTGTGGCTTTCCTCAATTGCCATTTGTTTTTTCCACATTTCTCTTCCTTGTCATTTATTATGAGCCTTTGATCTTTCTGAGGTCCTTGTACCTTACCAAAATGGCACCAGGATTGGGTCTGAGAACTGGGAGCAAGCCCTTGTCTACATGAAATAATTACTGGAAGAAACTTAAATTTTTTCCCTTAAATTCTCACAAAATCGTTCGGGAAAAAAATGACAAAAGAGATTAGTATACTTCTTTGACTTTTCAGAATTCATTTTGCTTCATAAATAAATAAGTACATACACAAATAAGTAAATAAGTAGATCAATCAGTCCATCCATCCCAAGAGTAATATATATATTTCAATCTACTTAGAAATAGCTAGTGACTAGTGAATGCCTGCGAACGGTTTATCAAAATTCATCAAAGCCACAGGATATAAAGAATTGGGGAACTCATTTCTTATTGAATTTGAAAAAATTATTTAAAAGTAGGTAGAGTATCTGCTACTTGCGGTCATTACTTGCCTTCTTTCAAATGATTAATTACTATATGAAGAATAAGAAAAATGTAAGGGAAATGGGCTTTTGTTTAAATCATTTGTTTAGAATATTGGCGATGCTTTCCTTTACTAATGTAATTTTCTTTGATTTATGCGCCAGCCACACCCTCATAAGTGCACATTTCTAGAGAAGTAAATTACATTTGTACTGCTTTCTTGTGGACTAACCAGATACATTCTTTTGTTCAAAGATGGGTGGAACAAGACCCTAAGGAGATTCTGCAGTCTGTCTATGAGTGTATAGAGAAAACATGTGAGAAACTTGGACAACTCAATATTGATATTTCCAACATAAAAGGTATTTCTAAGAAAATATTTTTCTCCATGTATGATTATCTCAATCAAATTCACTCATTCCTTCATTCAGCACATAACCGAGTGCCTGTGCAGTAGCAAGCAATTCTTTGTGAACCAAGGATGCAACAATAAATGGGAAGATTAAGGTCCCTGTTCTCATGAAGCTTTTATGCCGGTGGGTGTGAGCCCAACAGTAAGAGCAGACAAATACAAGCTGATCTCAGATACTGAGAAGTACCATGCAGAAGCTGAAACTGAGTGACACAGTAGGGTGTGCCTAGAGAGGCTTACTTTAGTTTAGATGGCTAGAGAAGGCCTCTCTGAGGAGGTGACACTTTTGCCGAGGTCTCACAAGCCAAAGGGGGCCAACCATGCAAATAGCTGGGAGAAGAATGTTTGAGGAAATGGAAGCAGCATGTGCAACGGTCCTGAGGTGGGAACACGCTTGGCCTGTTTCTGGGTCAGAAACAGGCCAGCGTGTCAAAAGTGGAGTAAAAGAAGGGTGAGGGCGGGGGTGCAGCAGGGGTTTCAGTAGGAGCAGAAATCGGGGAAACGGATGGGGCCTTGTCAGCCATGGTTAGGAGTTTGGGTGTTGTTATTCTTAGTATTACAGGGGGCCGGCCGTGAGAAGGTTTGAAGCAAGGTGACAGGATGACAGGATCTGACCTGCAGTTTGAAGACAACTTCCTCACTACAGTGTGGTGAAGTCGTGTAGGTCTGGGTGTGGACACAGGGAGACCGGTGTAGAGGCTGCTGTGGAAGTCCTGAGAAAGAGGATGGTGACTTGACTGACAGTGGTAGTGGGGGAGGTGAAGAGAGGAGGCAGAAGTTGATAGATGGGAAGTCAGGGTAATAGAGTAGTGCTGTCAGGGGAAGTGATGGGTCAAAGATGATGCTTGGGGTTTTTGCTGGAGCTCCCAGATAGACTGGGGAACAGCTAGGGGAGGGCGGTTGGAATCAAAGCATTTCACAAAGAGAATCTCCCCGAAATAATTGAGAGTGTCAGATTATTACAGATCCCTATTAATTCCAAGTAGTTTTATTGTTTTTAAAGATTTATTTATTTGAGAGCGAGAGCACGAGCAGGGGGAGGGGCAGAGGGAGAGGGAGAATCTCAAGCAGACTCCACCCACTGAGCCACCCAGGCGCCCTCTTAGCTAGTTTGACTCTACATAAGGGCAGCCATCAGTTGGTGGTGAGGGTGCCTTGATTCACATCCTATTGGCTCTGAGATTTACCAACACTCCTGAGTTGAAACTTTGATTATTTATTTATTTTGGTAGAGATGCTGAGGAGAACCTTTGAATTTGTTTTCAGACTTTCCTCTATTTGTATTAATAAAACTTACTTAAAAAAGACTGGACCAGGGGCACCTGGGTCACAGTTGTTTAAGCGTCGGACTCTTGGTTTCAGCTCGGGTCGTGGTCTCAGGGTCGTGGGATCGAGCCCTGCTTCAGGCTCTGTGCTCAGCGGGGAATCTGCTTCGGATTCTCTCTCCCTCTGCCGCTCCTGCTTGTGCTCTCTGTCTCTCTCAAATAAACGGGTACACCTTCAAAAAAAAAAAAGACAATGTTATCAAAACCTTTCAGCACACTTCACGTGCTGGCTATGCTGGGGAAACAATGGAGCACGAATAGGGTCGTGCGGCTAACAGCCAAGTGAGGGAGACACGTGATAATGCAATGACAAATGAATGGAATATCCTACCCTTGTTTGTCCCTACATCTATGTGGAAGTGCTTCAGACTTCTTTTAGAGCTGCATTCAACAAGTTTTAGATGAGTCGTGCATCAAAGTGGTGGTTGGTTGTGTCCTTGAATTGTTCTCACAGCTTTTGCGGCCTAAACCTAGCTGCAAATGAGGGAAAAGGACTTATTGGAGGTCAGGTAGCTGTCTGTTATTGGATAACGGTGTTCATTTTCCTGAGCCACACTGGTAACTTCACAGACCACTTCACTTTTTGTTTTTCAAACCACCTCACTTTTTACTTCCTGTGTAGCAAATAAATCAGATTTTCCAGCTGAAGAGCAATTTATTTATAGTCTTACCTGTTAATCATTAAGAGTTTAGGGGCGCCTGGGTGACTCAGTCGGTTAAGCGTGTGCCTTCGGCTCAGGTCATGATGAGCCCCGCGTCGGGCTCCCTGCTCAGCCCGGAGCCTGCTTCTCCTTCTGCCTCTCCTGTTTGTGCGCACGCGCTCTCTCTCTCTCTGTCTCTCTCTCTCTCCCTCCCTCCCTCCCTCAAATAAATAAATAAAATCTTTTAAAAAATCATTGAGTTTATCATAGCTGGTTGAATTTTTTTTAAGATTTTATTTATTTATTTATTTTTAAAGATTTTATTTATTTGTCAGAGAGAGAGCATGAGAGCACAAGCAGGGGGAGCGGCAGGCTGAGGGAGAGGGAAAAGCAGGCTCCCCGCTGAGCAGGGAGCCCGATGCGGGACTCGATCCCAGGACCCTGGGATCATGACCTGAGCTGAAGGCAGATGGTTAACTGACTGAGCCACCCAGGTGTCCCTTATTTATTTTTTTTAAAGATTTTATTTTTATTTTTAAGCAATCTCTACACCTCTCTGCACCCAGCATGGGGCTCCAACTCACAACCCTGAGATCAAGAGTCACATGCTTCCCTGATTGAGCCAGCCAGGTGCCCCTAGCTGGTTGTATTTCTTTTGCAAATTCTAGTTTGATTGGTGTTAGTTGTCCTGCACCAGAAACTTTGTGGATTTCAGGTCTGGATGAACAGTGTCACCAAAACTAAAGTTCACTCTCCAGCTCAACCGCACACAGGAGTCCAAGACAAGGAAATAGGCTGCTTCTTTCCTTAAAGAGTTGGGAAGCTCTGTTTGCCTGTGACTGGGCTGAAGGAGCTACAGAGTATATAAAGAATTAAAGTTCCAGATACCCTCATTCATCCTCATGTGATAGAAGCAAAACACAACATACGCCGCTATAATCCTGAGAACATAGGTGCACCTGGCTGGCTTAATTGGTAGAGCATGCAACTCTTGATCTTGGGGCCGTGAGTTCGAGCCTCAGGTTGAGTATGGAGATTACTTTAAAAAAGAAATTAAAAAAACCGAGAGCATAAAATTTTCAGTGATTAAATTCTCTTGTATCAAAAGTCATTACCACACTGTTAGAGAAAAGGGAAACCCCCCACATCCACTACCTCGCCCTGCCAAACATATCCACACATATTTCTGTCTTCTATCTACTCTCAGGGGGTCTCAGAAAGACATCTTGTTCTCCAAAATAGCTTCCCAGCTGTGGTGCATCTCATTTCCAATTGTTATAAGATGCCTCAAGCACACATTTTCCAGAGACTGTTTTTCTTACAAAGCTTTAGACCTCTTTCCACGTGGCATTTTTAGTAGCCCCAGAGTCTCCCTCCGGGGCTCTTACTATTTCGCTTTGGGTGATTTTTAGGGTTGGTTGTTTTTTTTTTTTTTTTCCTAAAAACATGTTCCAATTATAAGTTACGATTTTATTTTCATTAATTTTTGAAGTGGCTCTAGGCCCAACACGGGGCTTGAACTCACGACCCCAAGATCAAAGAGTTGCATGCTCTACTGACTGAGCCGGCCAGGTGCTCCTGATTTTATTTTTAAATAAGGATGCCTACCGTCCATAATTCTACCAACAACAGTTATAACACCCTGCAGTATTTCCAAAGGCTTTTTCTAAGTATATTTTCTTAACTGTCATTATAACTTTTCACAGGCAATGTTAAGCAAAATTGAACCAGAGATTCTGAAGTTAGCATTTAACTAGTTAATTTTACTGGAAGTGCTCATAGCTGAGAAAAATACCTCTTGAGAAGGAATGTACAGGTGAAGCATGAACCTCCTAGATACAGTGTACTACACTGGGTTTTATATATGTCAATGATGATAGTATCTATAACTAAAAGACTGTGGGGCCAGGAAATCATATATACTTTATGCATGTAACTTCTCATATGCTCCTAAATGGGAGATAAACCCAAGGTGGAGAATTACAGAACCTCAATGTGTAATTCTGAGAAAGAGGGAATGAAAATTAGGCACTATTAAGAGAAGCATGGGTGCTGGAATCAGCAGTCAGAAAAGTTCTGTTTTTGTTTTGTTTTTATCTTTTATTTAAATTCAACTTAATTAACATATATTGTATTACTAGTTTCAGAGGTAGAATTTAGTAAAATTTTGTTTTTGTTCTTTTTTTAAGCACCAGTGGGGGGAGGAGCAGAGGGACAGGGAGAGAAGCAGATTCCCCGCTGAGCAGGGAGCCCAACGTGGGGCTCGATCTCATAACCCTGAGATCATGACCTGAGCCGAAATCGGATGCTCAACTGACTGGGCCACCCAGATGCCCTAGAAAAGTTTTCTTTAAAAACAAAACACAGGGGTACCTGGCTGGCTCAGTGAGGTAGAGCATGTGACTCATGATCTCAGGGCCGTGAGTTCAAGCTCCACATAAAAAAAAAAAAAAAGAAAATCTTAAAAAAATACAGAGGACTTTAGGGTAAAAATGACAAGAAGTTGGAACACTGAAAAAGTTCAGAGGTACCTTATAAGGCCTGTGTGCCCTGAGGAGAAACCAGTAATGGAGATATGTTTATGGCTGCAGGAGAACCCTGAGAAGCTCTCTTGCTGGACTTTGTCTGCAAGAAAAGCAATTTTACTTCACACAAAGGAACTGAATTAAGATAGAAGGGAAAGAAGGAGTGGTCAGGGAGGAACCTGTGACCAATGAGTCAGATAGAAAATAGCCCTAGATTATATTCTGAATATAAGTTAAAATGAGCCAATAAAGAAGGGTAACCCAAAGGGCAGAGGAAAGTGATTCAGAGACTATAGCTAAGCGAGCCCCGCCGGTCTGTTTATGGAAAATTAATGTAGTGGGGAAGAATGGGAGATTCTACTGGACCATGAATTCATTGTGATCCCACAGCGTGAAGTTGTCACTAAAACTATCATGTTCACAGTATTCCAATTTAGCAGTCCATTGCTGAGGTCCCACTGAGTTCTCTGGCCTCTGTTGTGCCCCCAGTACTACTGGGCAATTCCTTTATGTGTCCTGCTTAGCTCAGTCCCATTCTCTGCAACTATTAGTCCAACCTCTCCTCAATAATATTGATGACAATGAGGGGCACCTGGGTGGTGCAGTCGGTTAAGTGACCGACTCTTAGTTCCGGCTCAGGTCATGATCTCATGGTCGTGGGATCGACCCTGAGTTGGGCTCCACACTCAGTGTGGAGTCTGCTCTAGAGTCTCTCTCTCTCTCTCTCTCTCTCTCTCTCTCTCTCTCTCTCTCTCT